TCATGTACACAACTTCTTGTAAATCACCATTTAAAAAGGCATTATTGATATCCAATTGTCTAATAGACCAGGAATGAGTGAGAGCTAAGGTGAGCATGATCCGCACAGTGACTGGTTTAACCACAGGAGAGAAGGTTTCATTGTAATCAAACCCTTGTTGTTGATGAAAACCCTTTTCCACAAGCCTTGCCTTGTATTTATTAATAGTTCCATCCGGATTCTCCTTGACTTTAAAAACCCATTTACATCCAACAGCCTTTCTGTGTGTGGGAAGAGCAACCAGGTTCCAAGTGTTGTTAGACATTAAAGCATTGTACTCAAGTTTCATGGCTTCCAGCCAAGGTGGGCTGGATAAAGCTTATTTCGCAGTAGTTGGTTCAAAATGAGCAAGTAAAGCAATAGACATGGCTCGAGACTTTGATCTGGTAATAATTGATCTAGGTGGTGACACATCCCTAGCTGTATTGGATGGCACATATTTAGAAGCAGAAGAAGAGGAAGTAGGTGAAGAGGTGGTAGAAGAGAGGAAATGGGAGATAAAGATTCTGAATTATGATCAGAAGAAAAGGGAGACTACACTGATGTGGCAGGAGAAGACTGCACCGAATGGGGAATAGACTCTAAGGGAGGATTAGATGAAGTGTCAGATTGGGAAGGATGAGGTGGAGAGAATAAAAGAAGTTCTCTTGCATGAGGAGAGGTGGGAAAAATTGGGATATGAGCAGAAACAGAACTGATAGGTGGAGAGGCAGGCTCAGTGGGTGTCCAGGATGAGTAAAGAAAACGATATTCATTGAATAAAACATCTTTCGAGATGTAAATTCTGCCTTCTTTATTCAAGCAGACATAACCTTTGTGGCTGGTGGAATAGCCAAGGAATAGGCATTTTTGAGAGCGAAACTCAAGTTTGTATCTATTATAGGGTCTCTAAAAAGGAAAACAAGCATACCCAAAAATCTTGAGAAATTGATAGTCAGGATTCTGTGTAAACAGTTTGGTGAAAGGGACACCAAAATCGAGAGAGGCAGTAGGGAGTCTATTAATTAGATACACAGCTGAGAGGAATGCATAGTCCCAAAATTTTAATGGCAAAGATGCATGAGATAGAAGAGTGAGTCCCAACTCAACAATGTGACGATGTTTGCGCTCAACAACCCCATTTTGATGATGGGTGTGAGGGCAAGCAAGTCTATGGTTAATGCCATGAAGTTTGAGGTAATCAGTGTATGAACGGAATTCCCCACCCCAATCTGTCTGCAAAGCTTTAATAGGAAGCTGAAACTGTGTAGATATCAGGGAATGAAATTGTTTAAAAATAATGAGGGCATCAGATTTTTGTTTTAAAAGATATATCCAAGTGTAACGAGTATGGGCATCAACAAAGGAAATGTAATAGGAGTATCCCAAGGTGGACTTAAGGGTGCAGGTCCCCAAAGATCACAGTAGATTAATTCAAAAGGTTTAGCATATTTAGTTAATGAAGTGGATGAAGGAAGTCTATGTGCCTTACCAATACAGCAAGAGGAACAAAAATCACTGACATTTTTATTTGAAGTGGGTATATTACAAGAGTGAAGTACATTTGTCATTGTGGCATGATTGAGATGTCCTAAGCGACAATGCCAGAGAAAATATGTAGACTGAGTAGGAATACAAGAATCAACAGAATTACAAGGTTGATCAACAACATTCTGATCAACAGTATTATTGCTACTTTGTATACTATTACAGAGAGGAAAAATAGTAGAACTGATAGTGTTTTGACTTCAAACAGCTGAAGGGGCAGACTGCTGAGGAAGCGTGATGTCTGAGAAGCAATACAGACCATCACTGCCAAGAGCTCCTCGAAGCAGAATCTGATGAGACTCCTGAGATTTAACAAAACAAACATTTGGATGAAACTCAAAGTAGACACAATTGTCTCTAGCAAATTGACTAACACTCATGAGGTTTTTCATTATGGAAGGAACAACAGAAGATTTTTAAGATGCAAATGTTTATTAGAGTCATAAGGAGACACACAATTTGAAGACTTGATAAGAGCCACTTAGCTGCTGGCTCTGGAGTAAGTTCATTGAATTTCCAATGACATGATAGGAGGCACCTGAGTCAGGGAACCACTCAAGAGCAGGAGAAATAGGAGGAGTTGGCAACAAGCCAGGTTGAGCTGCTATCATGGCCTGTGGTGCAGTAGAGATAAGCCTAACATACTGATAGGAACGTTGATGATGCAGTTGTTGTCTCTGAGGAAAGAACTGACTATTTGATGAAGCTTCAGGAGGTGGAAGGTTGGGTACGAAGTCTGCATCAAAACGATGCCAACAGGTCTTCACATCATGACCGTACTTGTGACATAGTTGGCAATAAACTTGCAATCTGGCACCAGGCCCTCTACCTCTGTTAAACCTTCCATTAAAACGTCCTTGGCCTCTACCTGAACCATTGGAACGAGAAAAATCATCAAATCCTGACTGTTGCATAAATTGACCAGTGCTCGGTTTCTGGTTCTCGAAAACAGAAGTGTTGCTTTGTTTCTGAGCCATATTCACATTGACTGATTCAAGAAGAGCTTTATTCTGTTTCAGAAGCATTTGTTCATGCGTCATTAGCTCAATAGCTTGATCCTCAATAGAATATGGATTTTCCCGTCCATGAACAGTGGTAACAAATGCATTGTAATCAACTGGAAGTCCTTCCAGTATATAATTAGTTCGATCCTCATTTGTGACTGGATTGCCTATGGCTTTGAGCAAATCACACAAGGTTTTAATTCGAGTTAAGTATTCTTTAGCAGATCTGTTACCTTTCTTGATAGATCTGAGCTCAGAACGTAGGTGACGAGATCTGGATTTCATCACGCCATGGAAGAGCTTGTGAATTTTATCCCAAGCTTCATGAGCACACTTGACTCCAAGAATTTCATTTACAACTGACTCTGAAATAGTAGACAAAAGCCACGATAGAAGCATCGAGTCCTATGTAATCCATTGAACATACTCTGGATTCTGAATTTCATTTTCGCGATCTTCCACGGTCTTGTACTGAACATGAATTTTTGGATTTACTAGATGACAATGCAACTGGTGAGATGTAATAATCGGTTCAATTATCTGGTTCCAGAACAGATAATTGTCTTCTGTGAGTTTGACGGTGATTTGGTGATTGAAGAGAAGAGGCGCGTGATTCTCCATTGATGCTGAAGCGGAAGCCATAGTGTAGCTCGAAAAATGGATCAGGCCCTCAGGATGAGGGCTCTGATACCATATTCGAATATTGTGCATAAGCCATAGATGAGAGAAGAAGAGAAGGAGAGAGAGAGAGAGAGAAAGAGAAGAGTGAATATCTGAGAATGTATATTACGATTGATGTATGTGATATAAGGCATCCTGATATATATACAGTAAGCCAAAACAAAATTGTAACTGACTAAAAGGAATTTATCAGCTACATGCAGATACATTGGATAAAGGTACAATACAATAAGATACTATATCTAATAATTCTAAAATAAAATATAAAAGTAAATTGTGAGAAGAGAAAGAACGAAGAAGAACGAGAACGGTGACTCGGTTGCTGACTCGAGACCACTCGTCGGCCTTGAAGAAATGCCCTTCGGATCGGTTTGGTGGTTCGTCCATGTCAGGATCTCATGTTCCATTGTCGTCTTCGCTGGAATCATGTTCGATCTGGGTTGGGTTGTGAAGAAGTGATAATAAAAAGGGAGGGAAAAAAAGAAGGGTTACTTTGGAGGTGAAGAAGAACAAGAGGGAAAATGATGTTCCTGAGAGATGACTCGTTGATGATGATGCTCCGATGACTGTTGATGATACAAATATGGGTTGTATGGTTGTCTCCTCCTTAACCACTTGTTTTTTAACCTTGGTTATAATCCATGGTTAAGTTCTTTCACCCCACTTGAGTTAGATGTGACTAATAAATGTCCTTTGGCCTCACCGCGTACGTGTTCTGCTACAAAGATTAGATTTTTTATTTAAAGTGAATATAATAATGACTTGTACAGGGCGTTTTCTTTGAAAGACAGTGGGCAATTAAGTATGGATCTATGATGGGATGATAGTGCCACAAATTCTATAGTCCAAGTACAGAGGTACACATTCCGAGTATAGTATAACAAATGTTCAATTGTAGATTATAAAAATCAATTATATAATTTTAAATAGAATATGCATGATAATTTATAGCATGGGATATTTATTATCACAACTCATCTCAACTCTTACAAAAATAATACTAATTTATATATATTAATATAAATTATATTATATATATTAAAATATTATTTAATATCAAAATGTGTCTTAACGTGTCGAAATTTAACATTTTTTAGAATTAACGTGTCGGAGTGCCGTGTCGTGTCGTATCTCGTGTCCCGTGTCGGTGTCCGTGCATCATAGGTGGTGGTTGAGTGATGGGTGGTGATGGTGACGATAACGGGTGGTAGAGGTGGCCAGCAGTTGGACGGGGGCATAGGCTATCAACAAAGTTCGTAGGAAAATAATATATGACTATATTTAGATTGAGAATGATGTGACATTTGCTATCATATCATGATCATTCCTACCTGAGTCTCCTCTTAAGATAGCTTATCCTGTTGTGGATAAGATAAAATGAGTCAGCAAGATAAGTTTATTATATCCTATTAGTTTATCAAATAATGAAAAAGAGTAGAATATGATAGCTTATCATATCTTGACCATCAAACAAGTCTAATAATAATAAATTTTACATATATTAATAATAGTATTTAATAGTATCAATGTGACGCATCTCTGAAATATCAGCACCAACGTCATCTGCATAAAAAAAAATATTGAAGATATTTAAATAAAAAATTGTAATATAAATTTAAACAGGAATAATTGATTGAGCCAGCTACCAAACAAAAGCAGTGCTCCATAATTTAAAGTGGCATGAAGTCTTCGTCAATCATGACTCTTAACCAATATAAAAACACACACACACACACCAAGCACAAACATGGAGAAGGGTGGCAGCTAATGAAGAGGAACTGAAACTCGAATTTCACCCGACAACCAGGTTCTGATTCTGAATCCATTCTCAAATTATTTTCACTTTTTTTTTCTTTCTCAGATAAATTAATAGAAAAATTATTAATGTGTTCGGGATGGCCTTCGTAACCCAACATAGTGGGTTGCCCATGAAAGCCCATCAGGGATCAAACCCCTGTGTCTTTACAGTGAGCACATAGATGATTTAGAACTTTTTTGGTGTGATGTATAAAGTTTGATAATATAAACTTATATTATACGTTATGACATTTTCAGTTATTTGGTGTGACTATCGTATAGTATAAACTTATATAATAGAACCCCTTAATACATCAAAATAATGTATAACTTAATCAGGCCTAAAGAAATAGATTAGGCCTGATAAGGAATTGATGTATTAATTGCTTATAAGTACAATTCTCAATAACTAATATATCATTTCAATATTAATATATTAAAATAATTTTTTTAATATTTTAATTTTTAAAATATTAGAAAATATTATCTTATACAATATCATATACCAAATGTTGAATAATATTAAAATTTAATCACATGTTATATAATCAAATTTTATCCTATCAAATCTTATCTTATATATATATTAAACATGCCTTTCACTCCTTGCATAGCTGATTCCTTGTACAGCTCATTATTGTATATGCACTATTATAGAGTAAATAGTTAACCTCTTCTCTCTCCTATGATGAGGGAATATCTTTCATCTGCATAAAATCCTCTTCTCCTGTCTGTTAACCATCTTCGTCATGAACTGTTATACTGTCGGATTTTAAAGTCATCATGGCCCCTAAACATTTCTCTATTCGTGATATAGGAAAATATCTTTTATGTTCCAGAACCACTCAATGATTTGATGCTCTTTCTCACAACACTAATTTGTTCTTTTCTTTTTTTCTCTTATTATTTTTTTTCTTTCTTAATTTTATCCTCTTATTTACACTAAGGGACCACCATAAAAATAGTGATGTCAGACCATAATAAATTATCTCGTGATATAGCACCCAAGTTGACTTTTCAAAAGTTTTGATTCATATATCACCTGCTCCTCGAGCATCCATAAATCGAGGTACTTTATTTCTCGAGACATACAAAACTAGCTCTAACTCTATTAGAGCTCAAATGTAATTATCGTTTACAAGTTTAAACATTTGTAGTTAAATGAGTCTTTGCATCATATCAGAAATTGTGATTAAGTAGTTATGAATTCGAGTTTTACCATCTTTATTTTCTAATAAGATTAAAAGGTAAATTGAAACCAACACTAGGTAAATAAAAAAAAAAATCATTAATATGTTCATCAAATATTTGATTCTTTAAATATTTACTTTTAATGTTAGTGTCTTGTTAATTTCTTCCTCCTTGGTGATTCACTATGCGTTTTGTATTTGCAAGTTATACCAACAACATAATTGATTAGCTATTTGTTGCACATACTAACTTGTGTGTTCTCATGTCTTTCTTTTGGCACTAACTCGGTTTAAGTGGAGGCAAGAAAATAAAAATATTATAATTTAAATAAATAATTATGAAATTATTGCAAGTTGAAACTTATTTATAAATGTGTAGCAATCAGTGTTGCCTAAATTCAAGTAGACGTTGTTATCAAAAAAAAAAAAAATTCAAGTAGATGCGATTGGGGTTATTGTATGCAGCCTTATCTTTTTTTCTTTTTCTTTTTACAAAAATATTATTTTCCATATTAAAACATGTGACTTTCGAGTGACAAGAAACAATTTTGTTGCTGCCTTAGGGCTCCCTCTCACCTTAATGTTACTTACATAAATCTTAAAATTTAGTTTTGTCTTTAAAAATGAGTTAATAGTGAGAAAGTAAGTTAACGTGTAGAAATTTTGAAGTTCATTTCTCTGTATTGTAAGTGCACTAAAGAAATAAGTTTATTAGATTTTAAAAGTTTGAAAAAAAGAAAAAGTAAATTGTAGAAATAAAAATATTCGAAGAACATAGTTTTTTTTTTTTTTGTAATGTAGAACATAGTTTTATTTCAATTGTTTGTATCAAGGGATAATAAGCTCTCATGTTGCAAGAATTCCAAAAAAAATTTTGCAAAATATATATTATGAAAAGTATATAATTATAATATCGAAGTTATTTTTTAATACCCCTTGTATCTATATACTACAGAAAATATATAGTTATAATATTATTATAGCTATGTATTTCTATTCATCCTTGTATCAATCACAAGTGTTTCCTTTATGTGATGGTTGATCTGTTTGCTTAGCAGCTAGAGAAAATGGGGTCTGTTGATGAATATCATATCCAACAAATAATTGTCAACATGCCAGAAAAGATTGAACCTGCCCTGTGGCCTGATCAGTGTTGTATCTACAATGTTCCTGCTAGTCTTTTTCATGTGAAAGAAGATGCCTATACTCCTCTATTGATCTCAATTGGCCCTATCCACCATAACAACCAAAAACTAAAGGAAATGCAAAAGCAGAAACACAGATATTTTCTTTTCTTTTGGGAAAGCCTAGTGAACAAACATGATTTAGTGCACTATAAAGCCTTCCTTGAACAAGAAGAGCAAAAAATACGCCATTGTTACCAAAAGAACTTCTCTGAAATCAGTAAGGAAGAATTTGTGGAAATGATACTGTTGGATGCTGTGTTCATCATGGAGCTATTTTTTAGGGAAAAAAAACTGAGGGAAACAAAACGATGTGAACACAAGGATGATTATATATTAACTCAACCATGTGTTAGCAAAAGTATCCAGTGTGACTTGTTGCTGCTTGAAAATCAGCTTCCAATGTTTGTGTTGGAAAAACTATATGGAACAGTTGTCCCATGCAATGTCAAGAAGCATACCACATTTGTTGAGCTTGCATATGAGTACTTCCAATCTTGTTATGCTCATCAGGTATCTTCAGAGAGAGAATCTGAGCCAAAGAAGTGGGAGAACTCACTACATTTCACTGATCTTGTTAGATATTCCTATCTCCCCATTGAACTGAGCTATGACAGTGACAGTGATAAAAACAAGCAAACTTGTTTTCTAAGAACAGCAACAAAGTTGAATGAGGCTGGGATAAGCTTTGAGAAGGATGATAATAGACGCTTGCTTGACATAAAGTTTGAGAAGAAGCCATTCTTAAGCTTGTTTCTTTGCTTGGGATGCTTGCCACACTCCAAGTGTTTCAAAGCTCGATTTCTATTCCCCATTTTAAAAGTAGACCACAGAACAGAACGTGTTCTTAGGAACCTAATAGCACTTGAGCAGTGTCACTATCCTGAGGAGCCTTACATTTGCAACTATGTTTCTCTAATTGATTCTCTTATTCATACCAAAGATGATGCAGAGTTGCTGGTTGAGAAAGAAGCTATTGTCCATGAACTGGGAAGTGATAAGGAATTGGCAAATCTGGTTAACAATCTTTGCAAACATGTGGTGACAAATTCAAACTGTTACCACCAAATTATGAAAGATATTGATGAACACTACAACAACAAATGGAAATGGGCAATGGGTACATTCAGGTGGGTGTACTTCCGTGACCCTTGGAGAAGCAGTTCTACTGTAGTGGGGATTGCTGTTCTAATATTCACCATCTTCAACTTTTGTCGTGTAATTCAGCTTATATTTTAGTTATTTCGGAATTATTTATTGAATCACCTTCTCTGTATTATATCATTATCAGTTGTTAGTGTCTTTCCGTTTTTTAGTGTCAATTAGAAAGTTTAATGGTCTTTTAAGTATGAAGTAATGACATGTGACGACTGCACTAAGTTGTTTAATAAATCTTCTATTAGCGATGTAATGGATAAGTTATGTGTAGTATAATGAGTCATTAAATTAATGTTTATTCAGGTGTAATGTGTTTTTTAATTGTTATTTTTCGGTTTTAGTTTCTAGCTTAAATAAGCTTGGGTTAAAAATAAAAAAACATTCCCTCTTCCAAACCGTATTTTCTACATCTTATTTTTATAACATCAATATTTGTAGCACTATAACTCTTCAATTTCTCGTTTACTTGTACTAAAACTAACTTGCTTATAAAATGTTGCTCATATGTGTGATGCTGCTAGTACATCCTGAGTTCTTGGAAAGGTGCTAAAATGATTGATGACTTTTCTAAATCAGGCTACTTCAATAGGGAATAAGATCCTCTAATTTTTGTTATAAACTGATATCCTCTAAGAATCTTTTTAAGTTAAACTTTGAATTGAGGTAGAAAGTTTCCCTAGCTTTTAAATGGATCCAATTTGGCCAAATTTCATTAAGTGTGCAAATCATTATCAGAACTGAAAGGTAGACTGTTTCAGTGTAATACAGCCCCAAAATATCCCAAGCAGCATCAGACTCTAACCATTTCGCTTGAACCCAAGTAACTACATTAAAATCAGTTAACCAAATTAAATTACAAAAAGTAAAAATCAAGATTCTAGACATCCAAAGTCAAATAAACAGTTAACTTGGACTAAAGCTGAACCAGCAATACTATACTAGTTGTGATGTATAAGGTCTTATAGTATAAATTTATATTATATATTATGATATTTTCAGTTGTTTGGTGTGACCATCGTATAGTATAAAATTATACAGCAGGATTCCTTTATACATCAAATGATGTATAATTTAATCATGTATAGGAGTGATGGATTAGGCCTGATAAGGGATTGATATATTAATATTGCTTACAAGTACAATTCCCAAGAACTAATATATCATTTTAATATTTATATAGTAAAATAATTTTTTTAATATATTAATTTTTAAAATATTGGAGGATATTATCTTATACAATACTATACCAAACGCTGGATAATATTAAAATTTATTTAGGTCTTATACTATCAGACCTTATATTATATTATGCACCAAATATGTCCTCAATTGGTTATGATGTTTTGATATGACATTATTATATCAAAGGAAAAAACAATTGCTATTTTTCTGACACCCTTATATTAAAGTGAGGGATCTTGTTATAATAAGAAAAGAGAAAAAGATTGTAGAATATAATAAAATTCACTAATTTTTATAAATATAATAAAAAATATTATGCAATAAAAAAAATATTAAACTCCATAAAGAATATATTAGAACATTCATTAATGAATTAAATAGACCGGGAGTCTGGACACGTCGTATCTACTGCTGGGCACATACTTCAAGGAGTGATTTTTATTATTTTCTTGACTAGACTCTAGCTTTTCAGCTTTTAGTTTCACACCGCTGGAATTTGGTATATAATAACATTTATTTTAATGCTTCCTTACACGTGTCATATATAAGGGTGTTCTTTGGTTTAATCACCCCTGTTGACAGAACTTGCTGATTTTGAACCAATTCGATAAATCCAATAATTTGAATCGTATCAACTGAATTTGGATAGGTTGATTAGATAACCGGATAAGTGTTGTTTTTGAAAATATTATATTTACAAATTTTTTAATTATATTTTTATAAATTATATTAAATATGAGTAATGATCTTTCAATCAAGAATATATGATCAATCATATTTCGTATAACTTATAAAAAAATTTGCAAACAGATCATTCTCATATATATATACATATATATATATATATAGCGAAAATTTATATTTATAAATTTTTTGTTTACAAACTACACTAGTTGTAAGTTGTAACCGGTCATACTTCAATTAAGAGTGTATCCGATTATAATTTGTAAAAAAAATATGTAAACAAATCTTTTCTTTTATTTATATATATATATATATATATATGAGGTAGAATTATCTATTACCACATAAAAAATATTAATCCTTTTGTTAGATTGAGATATTTTCAGTTTAGATTTATTTGATCCTGTAAATCTGTTACTGTTTTTATTTTATAGGAACGTTTGTTTAGATAGAAAAATATTAGGAAGTTTGTTATTATTTGATCTTATCTCAGATCAGAATTCATTTGTATATATACTCTTATTTGAGAATGAATAAGATAACAGAGAATTATTTCAATTTGACATGGTATCACCGAGCTGTGTTCTTGTTCCTGGGAAATAATTATTGGTCCCACATCGTTTCCCTTACTATTTTTTCATTCCTCCTCACCCACCCTCTCTTCGAACGTCTCATTCTCGAACGGCCGAACTTTTCTTTCCCTTCTTTCTAAAACTCCCAAATTTATTCAAACTCCTACTTCCATTCCCCGAATCTTCCTTTCTCCCCTTCCCAAATATCCCAAATTTCATCAACTCCCTCTTTCCATTCGATCTCAGTAATGGATTCTCCACCACATTCTGATTCTGACTCACCACAAGACACCCCTGCTCCTCAGAATCCTAACCCTAACCCTCCGAACATTGTGATTCATCAGGATAACTCCTCTCTTCCCTTAACCATAATCTTGGATGATTCCAATTACCCATTATGGTCTCAATTGATGGATATGCGCATTGGCGCACGCAACAAATCTGGCTTTCTTGACGGCACAACTCTGAAGCCTCCACCCTCTGATCCGTCGTATGCCACCTGGGTAACCGACAACAAAAGAGTCAAAAGCTGGTTAATTGATTCTATGAACCCTAGCCTTATGCAGCGCTTCATTCGGCTGGAAACTGCCCACGAAATTTGGGAGGCAACCTCTCGAACATTCTATGATGGTTCAGATGAAACTTGTTTATTCGATTTGAACCAGCGGTCATTCTCCACTAAGCAAATGGGTAGGCCTCTCTCCACCTATTATAATGAACTTCTTGCTCTATTTCAAGAAATTGATCACCGACTCTACTCCTCCAACACTGTGGAAGGGGTCACCAATGGTCATTCGGCCCTCTCTCGTCTACGTGTTCACATTTTTTTGGCCGGTTTGGACTCTGAATTTGATCAAATTTGTGGTGAAATTCTTCGGAAGGATCCCAAGCTTGATCTGGAATCTACATATGCATATGTCCGCCGTGACTCCCACCAACGCCAATCCATGGGTGCTCCAAAACCATCTTCTGATAACACGGCACTCCTTTCTCATCAGGCACGGATTCCTTCCCGTCCACGAAGTGAGAAATCTTCTGGGAAATCATCCTCACTTGTTTGCACTCATTGTGGTGTTTCGGGACACTCCAAGCAACGATGCTATGAACTAATCGGATACCCTGAATGGTGGGACTTCACACTCCGGCCCCGCAAGAAACTTCCGAACAAAGCACCTGCTCCTTCTCCACCCCAAGCGAATGTTGCACATGCAGGAATTTTGGGTAAGCAATTTGTTTTTTCTGCACAAAGTAGGAATTCTACTTGGATTATTGATACAGGAGCCTCCAATCATATGGTTCAGGACTCCTCCTTGTTGCATGATTTTCAACCTTGTTCCCAATCTTTTATCTCTACTGCCAATGGGGGTACTTCCCAGATTACTGGTCAAGGATCTCTAACTCTATCTCCTAATTTCACCCTTTCTTCTGTATTATGTGTTCCCACTTTAGCATTTAATCTCTTATCTGTTAGTCAATTGACTACTGATCATAATTGCTCTGTTATTTTTGGACCTACCTTCTGTTCTTTTCAGGACATCCACCAGAGGAAGATGCTTGGTTGTGGTGTTAAATATGGGGACCTCTATTATTTGGATCTTGGACCACGCCCTCAGAATTCCATAACTCAGGCGTATGCCACATTAAATAAATCGAAGGCTTCTGCTGACATTTGGCTATGGCATCGTAGACTAGGTCACTTATCATTTGGGTATTTGCAAAAATTGTTTCCTAAGTTGTTTTCCTCTTTGAATCCTTCTGAATTCTATTGTTCTATTTGTGAGTTGGCTAAAAGCCATCGCGTCCCTTATTTTCCTAGTTTGAATAAAAGTACCTTTCCTTTTCAAGTTGTACATTCAGACGTTTGGGGCCCTGCCAAGGTGCCATCTCTTTCCCGCGCTTACTATTATGTCTCTTTTGTGGATGAATGTACTCGTATGATTTGGATCTCTCTTTTAAAACATAAGAATGAGGTGTTTGATGCCTTTAAAAAATTCTGTAACATGGTAAAAAATCAATTTCAAACTTCTGTCCAAATTCTCCAATCGGACAATGGCATGGAATATCTAAATACATCTTTTCATGAATTTCTTGACTCTAACGGTATCAAACACCAAACTTCTTGTGCATATACACCCCAACAAAATGGGTTGGCTGAACGCAAAAATAGACATTTATTAGAAGTTGTTCGTGCTTCCCTATTTGGAATGAATGTTCCTCGTTATTATTGGGGTGAGGCTGTTACCTCCGCAGCCTATCTTATAAATAGGACTCCCTCAAGTGTTCTAAATTTTCAAACTCCTTTTGAGAAACTTCAATCATATTTTTCTACCCCTCACACATCTAATCTTCAACCCAAGGTTTTCGGTTGCACTGCTTTTGTGCATATACCTAAGGTTCTTCGTAACAAACTTGACCCTTGTGCTTGTAAGTGTATCTTTGTTGGTTATTCTGACCTTCAGAAAGGTTACCGCTGTTATGATCCTATTCTTCGAAAAATATATATTACTCTTGATGTCTCTTTCAGGGAAACAGAAGCATATTACTCAGGGGGAGTATCTCACTCTTCTTCTCAGGGGGAGACTGCAATAACCAGTGGAGAAGAAGTGTTAGTTTCGATTCCTATCCCACAGGTTCCTACACCAACAGTCAGTCAGAACATTGTTCAATCCGTT